AGTAAAATGAATATAAAGCTACATGTTGATTTTATATTTCACCTTTTTATATCCTATCTCTATTATACCTCTACTATATCTATTTTCTATTAATTACCTGATCCCGAGGTTTTTAATCTGTTACTTATATAAAGACATTTCAGTACGTAGAGACATATATATATATATATATATATATATATATATATATATATAAGTGTGTATTCAAGAACACGCGTATTGAAGATGCAACTACTCGTATTATCGCGAAGCCTATTTTGTCACACATTTAACACATACATATGCAAAATGTGTGGCAAAATATGCGTAGTGACAGTACACGTGGTTGTATCGACAATACGCGTATTCATGAATGTACATTTACATGTGTAAATGTTACATTGAAGTGTCCTTTGTAAGACTTCATTGCCGATACATATTCACTGTTTACTATCGGTAATCGTGCTGAAAGGAGCAAAAGAAGGATTTTTACCGGTGCATTATCATCGACAAGAATCGAAAGCATATTATTGTGTGTTCGTTATTATAAAAATCTTAAATCCTCAAGAGACTACGCTTGAACTATCGCGAACCATATTTTCACCTCTATGCCCGAGCCGTCAAGTAAATAGAAATACCTTATTTATGAAGTTTTACATTGTCGGGGTTTCTCCTTTGCCCGATGTTCGACGAATAACAGTGCCGTAGATGTTAAGAAGTTGTACGGACAGTGCACTAGCTTACCGGGCACTTCTGAGTCGAAATTTTCGTCCTACATTGGGTCTTCAAACGGAGAAAACAGAAGTAACTTCCCATTTGTAGCATCAAAGGAGCACGATAGAAGTTTCTTGTGAAGACTTAATGTAGAATTAAAATTTCCACTTGGGAAGACACGGTTGTAATTCGTAAATCCACATTTTACGCTTGCGGAAGATCCTTGCGGAAAGAAATAAATATGGCAGATTTTAATCGAACACGAAGAGTAAATTTTTTTAATGAATTTTTCCTCCCTTGGGAAAGAAATCGGAAAAATTCGCGGGAAAATAAAGAAAGAGCCGGCTTTTGTCAACTATAATATATATAATATTTCCTATACGAAAATTACATATCTCATAAAATATAAACCCAGACAGCACAAATGTTCAAAATCGGGACATGAGTCTTTTAGACGTCCAGAAATCGTGTTTAAAATGTCGTGATGTAAGATGTTTTTAAGATGTTTTTAAGACGTCTAAAAATGTCTTATGTCCTGATTTGGGACATTGTGCTGTCTGGGAAGTATCTCTTTTTGATGATATCCTTGAGGCGTCCCTGGCTCGAGAGACTCCCCACGATCAGACACGCACTATATAAATTTGGTTTCTCACAAAACAGATACTTTCTGATACTTTCCGCTCGCGGTGCTACCACATAACGAATAATCGGTCCAAATCCGCTCGAGTGGCGAAGAGTGATTGTTCCTTCTTTCTACATTATTATACAAGTAAGTCGATAGAAAGATATCCTGCAGCTTATATGTACCGAGTGTGTCAATGCTTCAATTAGGAAAATTTCAAAAAACATTTTTGCGCCTTTTCAATGATGATATTTAGAGACAAAGAAGGATTTGAAAAATGTTCATATGTCACGATTAGATTTCCTGATAGATATGGTAAAACAGAACAATGCGCATTCACATTTATATCACATTTACATTTACATGAGATTTATATATAGAAGAAATACAGTGTAGTGTGATCGTATCAATGTTCATGCAACATAATATTTTGAGGATCGCTTCTACGTTATCGACGCTTATCAAGTTTGCCGTCGACTTCAACATCCCCTTAACGTCAAAAACTAGATTTCACTGGATTTAATCGGTACAATTTCTCGATTTTGCCAACGGCCTCGAGAGATCCGCGCTTTAGTTAAAAGTTCTTATACTTCCTACGATTTTCTCTCTACATTCTGTTGAAACAGCAGACATCCAGTCATTCCTATTGAAAGTCATATAATTACATGCACGTATAATATGCATACAGAGAGAAAACGAGCGTGTGTTTGGTACAAAACTGCACAACAATAACAGCAACGTGATGTGTTTTTTCTCACGGCCTTTTCGGCTGAGGCCCGTATCATACTATGGATTAGGATTGAAATTGGATCAATCGGAGCAAGTTTAACCAAATTCAAGTTTAATTAAACTTGCTCCGATTGGTAAAATTTCAATTCAATCTCAATCCTAATCCATAGTGTAACACGGACCTAAAACGAATTTGAATCGATCCGAGAGCGATTATCGACGTTATAAGCTCCGTGATAGGCTGGACAGAGCTCATGATTTCGTGATTGGTCGACTTCTCTATGCGTAATCCATAATGGCGGTCACACAGTTTTAATGAATAAGTCTTTATTCCTTTGTACTCCGTGAGAGATGGCACTGGAAGCTATACGTGCGCAAAAGATACATTAATTATCGCAGAGTACCCTTCACCTTGTACCATTTAATTATCTTTAGAGGGGGAGTTCGTACCCGCTGACCGATGCAGCGCGGGCGACTTCCTGGACGTTCTCTCGAGGCACCGCTCTCTTCCTTCTTTCGGGATGAGGATACGCGACACCGGGAACGTTCGGTGATATAACGGTAACGCGCAAATAAATGAGGTGTGTGTTCTTGTCGAGGTTACTACATATCTTCAAAGGTGAAAGTACACGCAAAGTCGAATGTGTAGCATGTAACAAAGCGCGGGACGAAACGTTCCTTCGATCGTGGCAGGTGAGCGCATCCTTGTGTGCGTTTCTTTTTCTTACCTGCGCTTCTCGCGAACGTCCTCGAACGTCTCTTGAGCGGGAAGCGATTTTCGACGGCCGACTTCGCGTCGTGTGAATTTGCATTACGACGTCATGGTCGTCTTAGAGGTTATATATAACAGTGTTCGAACTCGATTCTCGCGTGTGGTAAGGGGAAAAAATTAAATGGTGAAATTGGAAATATTCGTTATTTCCAATCTCGCGCACCATGAACGATGTCGCTTTGCGCGTGAATTCCTGATGTCGAGAGGTAAGGTAGAGAACGAGAGAAAAGGACTCTCTCGTCGGCCTCGATGGGACTTGATGATAATATCATGTGTTGCTTACCGATAAAATTCGGGTGTAGAGATGCGTATTGCCGATCTTCGTCGCGCGGGAAGAATAATCAAGCCGTTGGATATCGTTTTCGGTGAATTCGGCAACATATTTCTCTCTTTTACGTCACACTTCCTACGACTTCTGTCACTTTTCGCGGGCAATTTGGTGTAATAGTACGATGTTCTTTCGCAGATCGTTTACATGTTAAGACTAAGTCGGTTGTTCCTAAGAACACTGCGCAAGAGTACTTCCGCACCTATGGATAATTCTGTGTCTCTTCAAGATTGCAAAAAAGCCACCATGGAGCCATATCTCGACAGATGTTACAGCCAAAATAACGCCGCTGCAATGTGCAACATACCATTTAACGCGACTCCAGGCAATTCGATTTATTGCCAGAGCCATACGTACGATGCAGCTTATAGCGTCAAAGCCAACGTGTGTACAACAGCTGCGAATTGCCTGCCAGGAAATCAGGTACTCGACAGACAGAGATACAAAGCTATAAGAAAGTGGAAGAAATTTGGGAAAGGTAAAAATCATTATCTCTGTTTCTCTGGTATAAGAGAAAATAATTATTCTGTGTTAACGTATGCATCACAGTTTATCCGTTTGCTGAAAGAACATAATTTCTCAAACATCCTTAGGTAGACCGAACAGTAATGCAGAAAGTTCTTTCACGCTGAGGCTTTTGTCTTTCAATATCCTGGCGCAGAATCTGTTGGAAACTCACTCCTACTTGTATCATGAGCACGACCCAGCTGCTCTAAGTTGGAAGATTAGAAAACCTCTGGTGTTACAGGAGATAATTGAAGCAGAGGCAAATGCATGTATATTTGTATCTTTTATACTGAATTATGTGAAACTGAATGATTTGAAACTTGGGATACAAGAACAAACGGAAGATCTAACATAGTCTAATCTTGAATGTCGTTTTTACAGATAATTTGCCTTCAAGAAATGCTGGAGGATCACTTGCCAGAATTTGTAGCGCCGTTACGAGAACTCGGATATGAGTATTTGTATAAGAAGAGAACGAACGACAAAAAGGACGGTTTGCTTTTGTTATATCGCAGTGATCAGTTTACTTTGCTAGATTATGCGAAGGTGGAGTTACATCAATCTGGCATCGAGGTCTTAAATAGAGACAATGTTGGAATAATCGCTAAATTGTCCCTCAGAGACAGCCCGGAAACACAATTTATAGCTGCCACTACTCATTTGTTATATAATCCGAGGCGCGCCGATGTACGATTGGCGCAGACACAGCTTCTGTTAGCAGAAATAGAGCGAATGGCGTTTGTCGAAGACACACGGTGAGTGCGCTTCGGTAACTATTGTAATCGCGTACAGTAACCTTCGCGCGAGTATTAGCACACGTACACAAGTACACGTAATTTTGCGCATAATTTACATAAAACATTTGTAATCAAAATAGTGTGTTCTGGACTTTGATTCTAATCGAAATTCTTAATAAGATCTCAAGATCACATTGGTTATTTTATATTAATAATTAGTGAGCGACTAGAGTTTTTGATTGTATATATAATACTTTTATAAATATGTACATAATCTTTATATTTCTATAATATTCTATAAAAAAATTATATATATGTGTGTACATATAAATACATACATACATATATATGTTCATTAACATGTTGCAGAACGGGTCCGAAGTACTTACCGATCATATTGGCGGGAGACTTTAACCTGACGCCATTTTCAAGTGTCTACAAGTTCCTAACGGAAGGTTCATTTAAGTACTATGGTAAAGGACGGAGTTTAGAGTCGAGCAAATTCCAATCTCTGTCAAACTCCTTGATACCGCCGCGATTATGCGTCACCGACAATTGTCAACACTTTAATGTCTTAACTCAGAGAGTACGAAGGGAAGGCAACGGCAAAGTCATGGTATGTATTTACTAGTCACGTACATCAGGATCCTTAGATAGTCTATCTATTTTTCTAGGATGAAAAAGCTATAAGTGAAAACTTATATTTAATTTATCACGATACACCGTTACGCAATAAATAAAAATTGATTAAATTAATAAAAAAAAAATTAAATTAATTTAAAAAAATTAAATAAATGAAAATTCCAACTTACCGTTTTCCGAAGTGGACCGTCTCTTTGAGTCGTCTGAGTTGTTTCTTTAAGTAATCACTTGAATCGTTCGCAGCTGGAAAACAGCGAATCGTCTTCGGAGAGAACGGATGAAGATGTGCGTACGTCTTGTAGTGCGAGTAATGTGAACGTCAATACCAGCCGTACGCAGATCATCGAGATAGCACAGGGCCATTCTGTAAAGTTTTCATCCGGTGTTCTAACGCATCCTCTTAATATGCGCAGCGTATATACGCATATGAACGGCAAAGGTGACATGGAGGCGACGACGCATCAGGATGAATGGATCACTGTCGATTATATTTTTTATAGCAACATTCAACCTATTGAGAAGTACGTCTTACCTACTGTGAGCCAGTGCGCCATGTTACCAACCATACCAAATTTTATAGTAGGTAGTGATCATTTGAGCATAGGTGCCACTTTTCAGTTACCGAGAAAAAAATCTCTGCTCTAAACTTTTCGCTATATCATACCTTGGATAGTTATATTTTCATTAAATCTAGATTTTGATGTAAGGAAAAAGAGCTTATGGAACGTCAATTAATGCAGATTTGTCAATAGTGTATCTGACCTTATTATTAATTTATTATATTGATTATGTACGCGTTAATCGCCAATTTTCTTTATTTTTTGCTCGATGAGTTGTTTTCCTTAAATCTGGGTGTTCGATCTGAGGAAAGAGCTTGAACATCAACTTACACAGATTCGTTAAACAGATTCGTTACTATTGTATCAGATCTTACTTTTAATTTATTATAATTGATAGTTTACGATTTTCACCAACTTTTTTTTTTTATTTTTCCTCGATGGAAATTTGGTGTAACGTTCACTTATTATGTACAGCATTCGAAAGTGCCGACATTTCTTTTTACTTTTCAACTATTTTTTTGACGAATGATTTATGTTTTGACTGTTAAAATTCAAACGATCTATCAATCATTGATAAATAAAAGCGTTTATTTTTATGCAATTTCTAATTCAATAATATTGAATTATTCGTCAACTTCTTATTTTTGCTCATCGGAATTGCGAATTCAGTGTGACATTTACTTGTAATGTACAGCACTCGATAGTGCCGGAATTTCTTTTTATTTTTTATTTTTCAACATTATTTTTCTGATAAAAACAACTGATTTGTGTTTTGACTGTTAAAATTCAAATAATCTAATAATCATCGGCAAAAGGACCGTTTATTTTTGTGCGATTTATAATTCAATAATATTAAATTAGATATTGCATGAATAGCAATAGTATCATTCATTATATAAAGAGGGGCTAAATCAGAAAGCATTACGACATTATGATTATCTTGTATCACCTATTGTTGTATGGCAAGGGACAAAATAAACTCAACAATGTTTTACTCTAAAATTTTACATATATTACATCTACACGTAATATATATATAATTATTTCGTACACATACGTGTATATGTACATAATATATATGTATGTATACATGCATATATGTATGATGTTGTAAAATATTGTACAAATTTTGTATACAAGAATAAATAGGATAAGTATAAAAAATATTCTTCATAAAATCACATATTGATCTCGCACCGATTTCCCTACTGCCACCATACATACATACATTACAAAATGTGAACAGTATTTATTTGGACCGCACCTTTGTGTAGATTTGCTTCCTTATAAGCCACCACGCAGGTTTTACCCACAAGATTAGTCGCAGGACGAACGGAACAATTCGTGTGGCAGAATTTGGCGAATTCCTTGAATCTTATTTGTAACTCTGCATCGCCCCCGTTAGGACCGATCAGGAATTCGCATTGCAACAAGCTCTTTCTTCCCTTCATACAACATTCCAAATATCTATGATCCGTCGTGTACAACTCCCCGATATTCCGGATCTTTATGTTCAAAGCTTGCCTCAGAACACCGGTCACGAACACGTCGTCTATCCAGAAGTATTCGTTGGAAGACTCGGCGTAATTAGTCAGGCGATTTGCCATCTGCGGACGCACAACGTACATCCAGCCGGAAACGAAATCCGGATAGATACTACCCGCATATTCCGCCTCGCTTACATACCACTTGTTAGCCGGTTCTCGAACGGGAATCATATTCCTCAAAGCATAGCCGGTCAAGGAGTCCTCATCTACTACACCATGTAACTTATCCAATAGGCCGTATAGATTTATGACTATATCGTCATCCATCTTCACGATGTACTGAAGATGTCTGCATTTGTTCACCGCCCACCGAAGACCCATCAGATGCTTCCGGGTCAAATTTCTGTACGTGTCCACGAAGTCTCCCTGAAGTATGTCGTTGAATCGACGCGACTCATCCAACAAAGCATTCTGCGACACGCGAGTCTTCCTCTGAGCATCATCGCTTAACGTACCGAGCAGAAATACCCTTCTAATTCCCAAAGTCTGTAATTCCTCGCTCGCGTATGCTCGCCGTAAGGCGCTTCTAGCCGAAGGATCACCCGCGTACGACGTGACGATCCACGCGAGGAAAGTAGAGTTGCAAAGTGGCTCGATTATAAGCTTGACACTGTTCGACGATTTTCCAGGTATCTCAACTACCGTCGCTTGCATGGGAATTGCATTCTTCCTCTGCGGTCGTAAGCCTTTCTCCGTGAACGCGATAAACAAGACGCATGCTGTGCAAACAAGCAATAACAAGAAGCCAAGTTTTGCGAGCATACCTGCCTCGTTTCCAAACATTAGAGGCGACGGTCAATTTTTTCTTCTCAACAATTCAAGAATCAATGCGTTCGAAATCAATCAGCGTCACGTTTTTCGTGTTTTTCTTCTTTTTTTTATGCGCTGTCAACAATTACAATAGAGTTCAACTGGACACCCATTTTTGCTAGGTTATGTTCCAGGTAGACGCGTTGCTTTTCCCAGACTTGTATCGCTTGTTTAAGTGGAATTTAATGGATTGTAATTTTAGAAGGAATAATCATAATGAGATGATTCGAGCAACATTTTATAGCCTAAAATCTCTATTTTTTAATATATATTTGAATATAAAGTTATTTTTTTCGGTGTTATACGAACGTCAGAATTTATTATGAAGTTTGTCAAGTTGTACTACTTAAACATAACATCGTATATATCGTACATATTTATAATATTAAAAAAAAAAACGGACTTTTCTCTTTTATTTGCGTGTATGCAGATTTAAATGCGATTTTTTCACCGAGTTATTCAGCATTGAATAAAAAATGACTCTTTTCATTTAATCGCTCACAAAAAGCAGACGAATCATTATACGGCATTCGTTAAAAAATAAATAGGAAGCTTAGTTTCCTCTTTGCAATGCATTTATCGTATTTTTAACAAAAATAATTTTTCAATGTAAAACTACAACACTAAAATATGTGATTGAAATTTGATCGGTCGTGATTTTTCATTTCATCCAATATATCTCAACAGAAAATAAGAGATATGTTATAAATTTAATATGATTATAAAGTAGAGACTTCAAGCTTTAAAATCCTTTTCGAGCCATCTCGTTACCATAATTTTTTCCAAAATTACATTCCGTTGAATTTGTTTGGTGGAGTAAAAATTTCGAACTTTTAATGAATCCCGCTAAAAGTACGTAATCTGTACTACGATTTCAATTTTTCATCAAGTGGCGGCTCGTAGCGGAGACCTTGGAACTAAAATCGATATCACAGAAATGCAGGTTCTACAATTTCTTGGGCCCTTTATTTACCCGCGGAAAGGATGACGAAACACGCTATTAAACCCGTTATTTTTCGAGAAGATCAAGTGGTCTGTTCTTTACAGCTATGAAGCATGTGAAGCATACTAGATTCTCGCGCGTAATTTCTATCTAACTAGTCCAGCTATAAAAAATAGACCAAAGGTTGTCCAGGTTAGACCCCTTATTCTTGTGCGGAAGCTCCGAGCTGTCAGATTGTCGGATGTAGTAGGTGACAGTGCGTCAGCGTTGCACAATGTACGTATATTTGTGAGACAATGAAATACTTCAAATGCGCGATTAAATATTTCAAATCGCACCGTTGCTCTGTCGAAATTTACAGACGTTATGATATCTAAAAACATATACGTAACTTCGCTGCTTTCTCGCACTTACACTCATAACGTCTTCAAGATTACTATTTTTAGGTTACAGGAAAAGGTTCGTACGAACGGAACGAACGTCATCGTTTGTTACGTTGCGATCACTGATTCGTGATCGAGACATCATTTTCCAAGCTAATTCCCACGTTGATTTTCTCACTAGAGATTAAGACGATCATTTCGACGAGACTGCAAAGGTTGTGCACAGTTACACGTGCTTGTTGCAGATCATGTCTGGTGGTGTGTAAACGATGCGGCTGGTACGAGCGTTCGTCTATCTGTTTGCGCTCGTCTCCGCGGCGAGATGTAGCGACATAACGCCCGCCGTGTTCGGCAACGTGCTGGACGGCATGCCGGCCGCGTTCGGGGACTTCAACTCCGACGAGTTGACGGACGTGTTCATGCTGCGCAAGAACGGCAGCATAGTGGAGATATTCCTCGCGGCCGATCAGGAGCCGCTGCTGCGGCCCGGACCGGATCTGAACTGTTCGTTCAAGGACCACGTGACCAGCGTGGTGCCCGGCGATTTCGACGGCGATGTCTTCATGGATATCCTAGTGACGACCTACAACAGGAAGCACCGTGCCACATTCGTGCACATACTGTGGGGTGGAAACGGCCACCTGAACTGCAGCAACGAGTGGAACCCGCTGATAGAGATGCGCGATCAGCCGTTGGCGTTGGACTACAATCGCGACATGATAATCGATCTCTTCGGGGTGGACAAGGACGGCAACAGGACGTTCTGGGTGTTCAATCAGAACCGAACCACCCCGCGTGCCATCCCGATGAGCGGGCCGAAGCAGCTGGAGCCCGTGAGGAGCCCGCACTCCAACGCCTTCCTGGACTTAAACAGTGACTTCTTGCCGGACCTCGTGGTGACCACTAAGACGTCCTTCGAGATCTGGATGGGCACCGAGCAAGGATTCGAGTACTCCCACGAGATCGGCTTGCCGTACAACATCATCGTCGACAAGAACTTCAAGGGTGAGATCGGCCAGACTCTCTACCTGGACGTCGAACTGACCGGCAAGATGAGCCTGCTGCTGCCGCTGTGCTTCGACGCGAGCTGCAGCAATTGCACGATCATGATGTTCTCCAACAACAGCTGGCACAACCTGCGGGTGAACTTCCGCGACTCCAACAACGTGCAGTGGGGCTTCGTGAAGCCGGACGGCCACCGTTACACGGAGACCATCACCCTGCGCGGCGGGGATTTCAACATGGACGGCTACCCGGACGTATTGGCGACTCTGCAGCATTCCAACGAGCACGTGCAGTCCTTCCTGCTGCAGAATGTGGCGTGTAACAACTGCGCCGGCTTCAACCGCACCTACGAGGTCAAGTGGCAGGCGTTGAACCCGTTCTACAACGAGACCGTGATGGCGGTGTTCTACGATTTCTACCAGGACGGTATCCTGGACGCCATCTTGGTAGACTTCGACAAGACCAACAAGATGTACCGTACCGCGGCGTTCAAGAACAGCCTCGACTATGACGCGAACTTTGTCAAGGTCATGGTGCTGACGGGTCGCACCAACAGCATGTACCCCATCTCGCCGGGCTCGCTCGGCAAGAAGAAGAGGACGTACGGTACCAATCTACCGGGGCCGTCGATCGCTTACAGGACGACCACGCAGGAGGGCAGTCCTCGCAACGCGATCGCCGCCCAGCTGCCGCAGAGCGCGCATTTCTCCCTCAATCTGCCCTACACCACCTTCGGCTTGGGCAGAACGCCCAACTTCGTCGACGCTCTTACGATAGGGGTGCGTACAGAGATTATTAGAGGGTGCGCGGGAGAGCGATTTAAATTAGGCTAATAATAGACCTATTCTGTCACTTTTAACGACAGTGCCATTATCGTTACGCAGAAAAATAATGTAAGGGAAGGAAGATAAGGGGTGGCGACGGAACGATAAGGACTCAAAAGTCACGGAACAGGCCTGTTGGCCTAGTTTAGCGGAAATAAGGGTCTAACGTCGCTTTTTCTCCTCAGGTTGGCGGCAAGTCGCGCGAGTGGCCGCAGATCATTCCGAATTCTCAGATGGTCGTGATACCAAACCCGATCGCCGAGCCGTCCAGGTGGAAAGCCCAGCTGTTCGTGACTCCCAGTAAGCTGATCTTGCTGAGCGCGGCCGCCCTGGGCGCCACTTGCGTCTTGATCACGGCCATCATCTTGGGCCTCTACTGGAAGGAGAGAAGGGAGGACAAGATCGAGAAGCTGCAGGAAGCGCACAGGTTCCACTTCGACGCGATGTAAAGAACCCAGGTTCGCCGAGGGGAACGCGAGATCACTCATATGTTTAAGGCTTATTTAAGATATCAGTTTATTGATATCATTAATTATTTCATAAATAAATCGCGCTTAAAATTCTACTGAATTTCACGTAAACGTCGTCGTCGTCGTATGAGTGCCGCTCGCGCCACGTTCAATTGCGAGCGGCATCGCGTTTGTTGATCGTTTCCTTTCCGCCGATCTTCGGAATTCTCTTTTCTTTCTCGTTTCTTTTACGTTCCGGCACGAGGTGTGTCAACGAGGTAAAATTCACGATTCGTCGATTTTTCTTGATAAAAAAAATTCGGCGTCCTCTCTCACTCTATATATATATATATATCTCTATCTTTCTCCGTCTCGCGTAGAAGCGATCGTCGCGTCGAGCTCGTAATTATATGTATATATTAACAAACGATCCTTGCCGTGCTTTCTCTACCGGTTTTGGTCGCCGCGCCCCGTTTTGAGCGCCGTAATGCTTTTCAGTCGTTCTAAGTTAACCCTAGAATACTAACCCTTTATTCTGAGCCTATATTCCTAAACCTACGTCTTGGAGACGTGTTAATGATTAAACGAAAAGTAGAAAAATCAAAACTTCTTAATGTGACATATATGTATATATATATATTTTTTTTTCCTTTTCAAAATGTGAAACAAATTAGAAATTGGTGGGGTGAGAAACAGAGGAGCGAGAGGAGTTTGTAAAAAATATCTACGTCTCGGAGACGCACGTTAGTATTCTAGGGTTAACAGGGATTCGCTATTGGCATCGGTCGTTCTTCATGGCAGGGTTTAAGTCGTTGAAGTACGGATGCGCCATCGCCTCCTCCGCTGACAGCCGTAGGGCCGGATTACACACTAATAATCTCTGTAAAAGTTAATCGAGTATTGTTACACGTTATTGATGGTTATTCAAGGCTCGACGTGCGCGCGTGAGAGAAGGAACCCGTAAGCGCCGTGTCTTCGGAGAAGTGTTTTCTGAAGTTTCGTTTCCCGCCATGTTGCAGACTTCTCTCTCTCTCTCTCTCTCTCTTTCTCTCCCACTCACGGCGCTTACGGCCGTCCTTTCCGCATCGAGAATCTTGAATCGATATTTCGAGACTGTGTCTCTTTTGTACGTACGTCAAATTACATTACATGATTGAGAGAGATGTTCTTTTTCTCGTTTTTACCAAATAAATATTTATATCTTAGATAATATTCCAAAGCGCTAGTCCATGTAGATTTCGTTTCAATTCGCGTTGCTTTTTGTTTGCTGTTCACTACGATCGTTGGAGATTCTTCACTGTCGTCGACACTGAGAAGCTTCGTTTCGTTACGACCGATCGCGTATTGTTCTAATATAATACTGTTCTGATAATATATTATATCTATATATTTTTTATGCGTTCAACACGCGCTCTAGAGATAGTAGCATTTGTATATTCCGCATTTCTCCTCTCTCGAGGACAAAACGAGAATAAACGAGATTTACGATTTACCTGGAGTAAGTCTTTGCCTCTTGAACTGAGCTTGGGCGTAACCTGCGCCAGTCCCTGCGTGGGGTGGTACTGCGGGAAGGGTTTGTAGTCGGGCAGCGTTGTCAAGTCCGGCCAAGTCTCCTCGGTCGGTGTGCCTAACATCTTAAATATTCTCTTCAGTTGATCGTCCACGTCCGATCCGGGGAAAAGCGGTCTGCCGGCATTCGCTAGTTCTGCAATCATCGTATCATCGAGAGAGACGTCGCGTTTCGTTCTATTCTACGCTTTACATTGGAATCGAGTATGTCATCTGTCGGCAAAGCTCGGTCTAATGCCTGTTTCTACCATTATGGTTTAAATCTATTCCACGATTAACTCGACGGAACTGACCAATCGCATCGATCAGTTCAGCTAATTGGCCAATGCGAATTGAATCAGTCGATCCACTGAGTTAACTGCCGATTAGATTTAAACTATAATGCAGCAGAAACAGGCGTGAAAGTTTACGGTCACTTGGGGAAGTAGATTTGGCAAATGATTACCGGCGAATATGCAGCCCGCGCTCCACATATCGATGGATGTCGTGTATAATTTCGCTCCGAAGAGAACATCCGGGGGACGGTACCACAACGTAACTACCTCCGCTGAGTAACATTTTACAGGGATGCCAAACGCCCTCGCCAGTCCGAAATCGGCGAGCTTCAACTCCCCGTTCTGCAAACGGGGATTCTTCAGTCAGTCAGTCACAGCATTATGCGACGACAAATTTGTCTCATTCATAAATAAGAATAGATATGATGCATCGCACACAAATACACAGAGAGATATCGTTTGTTTACCTTGTTGATGAGCAAGTTTTGCGGTTTAAGGTCCCTGTGAAGAACATTTCGACTGTGACAGAACGCCAGTCCTCTTAACAACTGATATCTAGAAACAAGAGTGAATTTATGACGCCTGCTTTCCTCGGGGAGGGTAAATCAGGTTTCTCAAGATGCACAGGACGTCTTACAGGAATGATTTCACGACGTCCAGATCGATCTCTCCGTTGAGACTGTCGAAGTACTTCTTGAGATCCTGGTCGCAGTGCTCGAACACCAAGGTGAGCTTCTTGTCACTGTGTAGCACATCATAGAGACGAACTATGTTCTTGTGCTTGAGCTCCTTCAGAAGACAGATCTCCCGCAGAGCCGACGACGGCACACCCTGGGAAAAATAATGCGAGGAGGGCATCAGCGACGATAAGGCAGACATTTATCGTTAAGTAAAGGGGAGTGCGCGCCGGCCTTCGGTCCAATGATTATCTTCGATGCGACAACACGAAGAGAGCGAGTGAGAAAGAAAGGAAGAAAGACAGAGAAAGAGAAAGAAAGAGAGGGAGAGAGAGAGAGAGAAGGAAGGAAGGAAGGAAGGTGCAATGCGCGTCGCGCGTTATAAATAAAACACACAAGCGATCGATTAATTAAATTAGTCGGAAGGCCGGCGTCGCACGACAGCAGGTGGGGATTTGTGACGAAGGGGACATCACGAGATGGAAGACGAGAGGGAAGAAAGAGAGGACGGGGGGAAATAGAAAGATAGAAAGAACAAAAAGAGAGTAAGAGAGAGAGGGAGAAAAAGATAGAGAGAGAGGAGTACCTACTTCGTCGTCGTCGTCCAGTCGTACTCGCTTGAGCGCGACGATTTCGTGTGTCTCGCGATTCTTGGCTTTGAATACGGTGCCATAAGTGCCTGCAACGAAAACAAGCGGTGGAGAGAGAGAGAGAAAGAGAGAGAAAGAGCAAGAGAGAATGACAGGTAGTAGTGTTGTGTTGTGACAGCGAAGACAGGCGGGCGCCGGGGGGCGCGCGGCAGTCGCCTCCTAAGTTCACGTCGTCGTCGTGAGATAGAGGCCACACGACGCCGCGGACTATGTGGAGAACACCGCGCGGCCGGCCGCGGTGAGCCGCACCACGTCACACGCCGCGCTCACCTTCTCCTATTTTCTCGAGCTTCTCATACTTTTGCATATTTTTGCTGATGACACGGGCGGGACGCACGCACAGTCGCGCACAGCGTTTCACCACTGCGCGCTCGCGGCCCGATTCGGCACTTCGGACGCGCAGCGTCGCCAACCGTGGGATCTCGAAATGCGCGCGTCAGCCGAGCTCGCCAACGGTCGGAATCGAACGCCAGCGTGCTGCTCTCGCTGCACTCTCTGCACTCTCCAGCGGTCTCCGAGCGCGAGAGAAAGAGGAAGATGATATGTTTTCAGCTAAACTGGCTACATTAGTTTAAGAAATGTATATTGAAGCGTATAAAATACGTACGTACATGATTTCCATACGTTTAATATGCGTAAATTTCTCGAATTAGTGCAGCCAGTTCGGTTAAAAGAAACGGACCAATTAGATCACTTCGTTTATCTTCAGTTCAATATGGAGGTATAAGCGGCGGTACGTTACGCTGCGAAGGACAAATTTCTGATCGTTTTTCTTTTTTTACGTTGTACGACGATCATAGTACGATAACACTTGGTGGTTTTTTCTTCAGTATTTCGCGCTCTGCTTCGAAATTTTCATCATGTACCTGATATACCGCTTATTCAACAGCGTGATATTCGCGATGCTGAACGTGACCGTCGTGTTGTACATTTGTCAACGGGTAAGTCGAAAGATTTTAGTATTCTCCGATAGGGATCAGCGAGTGTACCTTGAGAGAATGACGGAGGTACTAAATTATATGTAAATAATATTATGTCCCAGTTTTTCCGAGTGATGAGAGAACATTATCAGATCATGGCTGAGGCGGAGAGATTCAATACGATCGTACGTACAACAATATTCCGCGAAAACGAGACGACACATCAAGTACTTTTTTTTTATTTCATCAAACGCGTACAGCAGCGATTAATTCGCCTTTAATATCGTAGAGATCACACATTGATGATTAATAATTAATAACAGATTTCCGAGTCGCGTGCGACGCTTGCTTATATCGGCTCGAAAGTGTCCGCGGGAATGGATCAGGTACTTGAATTAATTTATTCCAATTGTCTGCGGACGATACAGTGCGATAAACATTTCAATTTGCGCGTTTAGCTGAAAGAAGACATCGCCAAGGAATTGTTCATCACTGATCATTTGACGAGGCTTAGCTCGAAAGTAGGTCTGTTGATGCAACGTTACTCTGAACTGGAAGAGGAACTGATCGAGGTAAGATATTCTCAGGATAAACTATGTTAATTCTAAACGTTTCCCTTCGTTCTAATTCTAATCTTTGCATTGTAGTCACACATAGTATATATATGCAACGTCGACAAATTTATTATACTTTTTTTTTTTTTTATATCGAGACAACCACAAAGAGAGAAAGATTCTAGTCGGAAAAAGTCGGGAGATTCACAGTCTTTCACTTTCTGTCTGCTTAAGGGATAGCGAGAGGGGGGGAGCACACGTTTCTAAGTTTCCGTTTGTAGAAAGAAATAAAAGGGAAACATCGCTTTCTCGACAGCTCGTGCGAATGGGCCACAACACGAAGAGCGTGCGGATCGAGACGCCCGTTGACATTAATGAGGAGGTGAGGAACATCCTCACGGCGGCGAGGAGGAAGCAATCGTCGCAATCGGAGCATCCGCGTACGCCGAAGAAGCTGCGGATATCGACCGCCACTTCCGGGACGACGAGGGACCCTCCTCCACTGCAGAGCACCATCGCCGAGTTCATCGCGTCGCAATCGTACGATCTCTGCGATCTCTCGCACGTAACGACGTCGGAGAGACAGGAACGACCACGTACGCCCGTTTATCCGGAAGTGCAGCTGCTGAACAACGCCCGACCGGCAGCCGATGCGAAGCCCATTGGCTTCCGGCCGTCGTGGAAGTGCGAGGCTTGAGTCGATTCCCGGAGTAAGTCACCTCTTTATATCCTTTTCTTCCTCTCTCTTTTTCTTTCTCTTTCTCTCGGCTCCATCTCGCAAGACTTTTCCACGACCGCCCTCGTCGGCGAAGATGCAGAGTAAAATCGGACCCTCGACCGGCCAGCGGTTAATTATCATTCTCATTTATTTAGATAGCACATTTCTTTACGCAGAATGACAGCATACGGGGAGTAGGAGTAGGACGCATCGCGTGGTTACACATTATTCGATCTCAATCCGGCAAAAGAACTCCGAGATCGAAACAACTCGGGACGTCAATTCCGTCCCGTGTAATTTCGGACGGTGATTAATCGCGAGGGAGGAGGTCTTTGTCGAGTTGCGTGTACCGCGAACGTAAAGGTATCGCGAGTACCTCTCGGGCCGAGAAACCTCGCCGGAGGGGAAACGACAACGCGCGCGCCCGCTGACGTCTTTGTCGCGTTCCGTTTCCTCGCGATCACATCGAAACATTTACACGGAGAAAACAAATCTCGCTAGAACAGCAAATGTTTGTCGATATAGTGACGGCAAAGGAAAATTTGTCTGAACAGCAGAAAGTTTTGTTAAGAGTATTAATTACTATTTGCTGGATATACGGACAATTAATATTCTTAACAAATCTTTCGGCCGTTCAAGCAAATTTCTTCCCGCTGTCACTATATCGACAAACATTTTCTGTCCTGGTAAAATTTGTTTTCTCCGTGTATTTCTTCGGTTTTCTTTCCGCTTTCTCTCCTCTCTTTTCGCGCGATACAATCCCAAGATTCGTGCAATCACATCGAGCGCGCGTCTAGTAGTATATACAATTAATTACACAATTAACAATGTATACACGCCGCCCGTATTATTACGATGTAGTAGCGTGCTGCGAAAAGTAGCCGGGTACTGCAACAGCGAAGAAGCGAGAGAGTTCATTCGAAGCGGGTCCTGAATCGGTTCCGATTGGTCGGTCAGCATCGCGTGGGGAAAGATCATCGCACATCCGGCGGGTAGAATCTTCCTCTCTCTGTCGCGCGCGCGCGTGCGAGCTCGCGATGAAGTAAAATAAATTCCCTGTGTACTCTCCCGAAGACATCTGTCTCGCTTCGACGCGGATTTCGTCTGTTGACGGTGTTCTAGAACCAAGGGATGTCCTGTCAGTCACACGTTTCGCCACATGAAGTATCTCGAACGCGACTTTCGCTCCGCGAAAACTATCGCTCGTGATAGGCCCTCGTGTCTCGTTTCCAACGTCGAGGGTCTCGATAGCTAAACGCTTGAAAATTCGTTCCTCTAAAAGTGAATTACAGTTGGAAATACAGCGCGATCGCAGCTAATCGAAGTTAATTGAAGTGCGCGCGCGCGCGCGCGCGCGGAAGTTTAAGTCGTCGAAGAGTTCTTTTATTTTCTTCCTCTTCGACGTTTCACGGATGTTACGACGTCGTTAACGAAATGGCCGCTATTTTTCGCCCCCGGTATCTGTGGCTGAAAGTACATCCGACGGTTTTACGTACAGAGGGAGAAGGAGGAGATCGGACGATCCCGCTTTTTAGTTAAAGAATACTCGCCGGCGAACCCCGCGCGCGCGATTCCCTCGCGTCTCGCGATGTGCTTCGCATTTCTCTCACTGCCCTTCGCCCTTTTCTCGCCCTTCGTCTCGCCACTCTCGCCCTTCGTGTCCTCCCGCGCCATTTAACGTCGCTGCCTGTCCGCCAAGTAATTATCGAGCCTCTTGACGAATCCATTCCAGCCGACCCGATCGATCTCGTCGATGTTTCGCTTGAAGAAGCTGTCGAACGCGGTATCGATCTCGTCGATGTTCCTCTTCGAGAAACGATCGAACACCGACCGGTCGATCTCGTCGAAGTAACCGGGCCGCACGTTCACCCATCCGGGTCGCCTGCAATTATGGACACGTACTGTATAGGTCGGAAGGTCCCTCTTTCTCTCTCTCTCTCTCTCTCTTTCTAATTTTTTATAATATAATTTTTGTTCTCCAATTTAAAAATGTCTAATCTATTTTCACGTTCTTCGAAGGCACAGCCCTAAAGCGATTATAAACGCATTTATCTCTTTATCTCCCTATCTCTCTCGGAGAATTCATCGAATTTTTCATATCGTTGGTGATGTTACACAAGGCGATAAACGTGACATTTGCTTAGAAATCGACGTTAAATTCACAAAAAGACATACACACAGTCGGGCGCATCGCACGGCGATTAAATAAAGTGCAAACGGCAAGAGACATCCCAGTGGACGCGCGCTTTAAGCGAAACGCTCTTTTTTTTTTTTTTGCCACATAGGTCGGGAAATAACAGGGTGATCGCAAACATCGCGTTCTATTTGCCCTCCCCTTTGGCCATTTCTTTCAGCATTTTTATGCTTCATGTTCGAAAAATCTGCTCCGCTGGTTTTGATGACACGATACGAGCAATTGCGCGGCACGAGCGTGGCGCCAGTAATTACGACTCGGTATAGTCGGACGCGACGAAGGAGGTATAGACTCTCTAGTCAGGCGTAAAGGAGATACGGAGACGCTAACCGAACAAGGTGAAGGAGATACAGACGTGCTAGCCGGGCGCGACGAAGGAGGTGCAGTCGCGTTAGCCGAGCGCGGCGAAGGAGATATCGACGATCGTAGTCAGACTAAAGTGAGAAATAGTGAAGGGAGAGGTGCGGCTGTATATAATGCGCTTCTTCCTCTCTTTTCAAATACTGTTTCCTACTTCCCTCTTGGTACAGGAACGGAGGAACGTAATCAGACATCCGCGATGATAAAACCGGTACCGTTTTGCGGAAACGGCGGCGCTGAGCGGGAGAGAATGGTGAATGAGGTAACCACCGTGGCGGAATCATCGGAGAAAAACAAAAAGCGGGTATACGTAAAGTTTGGCAACGGAATCGATTCTGTCGCATATGCGTGCGCGCACGTGTAGCGTTTTTTTAATAAACGGCACGTGGCGGGACGATTACTTTTATCGTCGGTGCGGATAGAGAGAGAGAGAGATGTGGAGAAACCAACAACCGAAGGGAGGAATAAAATATATGGCGAGTTGTGTAACGCGAACAATTGATGCAACGGTTACTTTTATTCGTTCGGGACGAATAAAAATCGACGCCGGGCGGAAGCGAATCGCGCGGAGTAGTTTTCTTGGAAAATAACACGACGGGATAAAGGCGACGTTTACATACGCGGAATAAAACTTCGATTGCGCGTCGTATTCTCCGTGAACGACGATTTTGAAGGCGTAACTTCGGAACGAAGTTTAGAGATACTTTACTGGAACGCAGAGGGGGAGCTTAAGCGCCTCTGAAAGTGAATAAAATGTGCCCGGCGTATATTAACACGTTCACGGCTTAATTGGAGTATACGTGACTTAAGTTGGCATCGAGTTCTTATTAATTCGCGACGTAAGTTCCAATTAAGAGCGCCATAAAGTTGCGGTTAATTCGCCGCGTAAATTCTCACTAAGTTAGCGTTATATTCTGATTAGAGAGTTCCCCAGTTCGGCCTGTTGACGCTATTTCCCCGAAGCGCGCTATTCTCGTGCTCTTCATTGCGATTTACGAAACTAATCCCCTTGAGTGTTAGAACATTTCCATCGTCACCTTTTATTGGGAGCGATAACAGAACGGCATGGCATGAAAAAACGAACGGAAGAAACGAAGAGTTGATTGAAAAAAAGGCCAATTATCGTATGATCAACGTGTTAAAGAAAGAAAGAAAATTATTCGTTCGGGGAGGAAGGAAAAAATTTGATTTTTTCGTCGACGTGTCCACAAGAAATTATAAAAACGCGCTATATATATATAATTCATATACTTTTTAAATATAATTCAGAAGGCAATATGTTTGCGTTCGCTCAGACACTCTACAGATCTCGATTTATTGCGAAAAGGTATGTCTAAAGTATGAATTAATTTAATAGAACACGAGAGCTCTTCGCTGAAATGAGCTCGCGCCTTCGTCATCGAGCGTATCGATAATGATTTACCTGAGAGGTGCGAGTCTCTTGTTCTCGCCGAAGGTTGCTCCGGATAACGAGTCCAACCCTCGACGCGTCTGCCTCAGCAGATGGCCGCCGCTGCCGCCGACGCCGTTTAAATTGCGGCTGGCCGCACCTTGAAAATTTCAGAAATCTCTGTACCTCTCCTCCTTCATCTTCTTTTCAACGGGAGACTGGGTAATGTTGGGGAAAATTCGAGATGAGCTCGAGAAAAGTAGATGCTGGAGAAGAAAAGGTATGACTGCGGATAAAACTTTATTATTACGACCTTTCGACCTGCCTTCGGCGAGAAACGCAACGTAAAGAAGCCTCAGAACGGGAAGAAAGCGAGTACAGCGTCAACATGCTTAGTTACTCTCATTCGATAACGTATTTAAATTACACGATCAATTAGGATGCTTCATACGAGACGCACATAATATATCGAACAAGTGGAACTCGGATCGACGTTGAATCGACTCCGAAGTTCCGCTCCGCGGTTAACGCGGTTGCTTCCTCGCCCTTTCCGGATTCCATCTCGCTGCGGGATCACTCCAAACTTCTCACGAGGTTCCCACCGCCAATTTGATCTAGATTTCGCACGAGGTTCCCGCCACCAATCTGGTCTAAGTTTCGTACAAGATTCCCGCCACCGATCTGGTCCAAGTTTCGTACAAGATTTCCGCCACCGATCTGGTCCAAGTTCCGTACAAGATTTCCGCCACCGATCTGGTCCAAGTTCCGTACAAGATTTCCGCCACCGATCTGGTCCAAATTCCGTACAAGATTTCCGCCACCGATCTGGTCCAAGTTTCGCACAAGATTTCCGCCGCCGATCTGATCCAAATTTCGCACAAGATTTCCGCCGCCGATCTGATCCAAATTTCGCACAAGATTTCCGCCGCCGATCTGATCCAAATTTCGCACAAGATTTCCGCCGCCGATCTGATCCAAATTTCGCACAAGATTTCCGCCGCCGATCTGATCCAAATTTCGCACAAGATTTCCGCCGCCGATCTGATCCAAATTTCGCACAAGATTTCCGCCGCCGATCTGATCCAAATTTCGCACAAGATTTCCGCCGCCGATCTGATCCAAATTTCGCACAAGATTTCCGCCGCCGATCTGATCCAAATTTCGCACAAGATTTCCGCCGCCGATCTGATCCAAATTTCGCACAAGATTTCCGCCGCCGATCTGATCCAAATTTCGCACAAGATTTCCGCCGCCGATCTGATCCAAATTTCGCACAAGATTTCCGCCGCCGATCTGATCCAAATTTCGCACAAGATTTCCGCCGCCGATCTGATCCAAATTTCGCACAAGATTTCCGCCGCCGATCTGATCCAAATTTCGCACAAGATTTCCGCCGCCGATCTGATCCAAATTTCGCACAAGATTTCCGCCGCCGATCTGATCCAAATTTCGCACAAGATTTCCGCCGCCGATCTGATCTAGATTCTTCGCGACTCGTCTGTCGTTCTTCACTACATCGCGATCGGTAAGCTGAGTCACGAGTCGCCGAGCGTTCGGCCGTTCGGCGTTTGAGTTGAGATCGGCCGGAATCGCGGGCAGATTCCAACTGTGAACTCTGACCGCGCGGAATGACTGACGACCCGTCGGGTCGCCGATTAGCGGGAGTCCCTCCCTGACGAAGTACGGATTTCCGATCAACCGTTCGTCTTCCAGCAGATGTTTGAGTTGCTCATCGGTGTCCCGCACGAGATGCCCGCCACCGATTTGGTCCAGGTTGCGTTTCGCGGCCGGACTTGATCCTACAAAGGGTACAATTACATCGTTACATCATTAGCTATCGGCATCGCCGGGATCGCTGATCCCGCGAATTCGACGTTCGACGCTGCGGACGGATACGTGAAAATATTCCCTGCGCCGCGACCATCGCGTCTCCATTGTCCCGCATCAGTTTCGTGTTATCTTTTCCGGGCAGCGTCGAAACCCGAATTCACCGGAATCACACGTTACCGGCCTTAATAGAAGCTCTTTTTATATTTATTCGTGACGTCGATTTATATAATAGCGATTCGTGCGACTACGTCATGCGGTGTAGATTATCGTGCCTGGGAAAAGTAGCTGTTCAATCGCATAGAATTAATTCCTCTCGTGTCACTTTAATTCATCCATCTTTTCGAGCCCCCCTCCCCCGATCGAAGAAAACGAAAATGCTATTATTCGCTAAATGCGCGAAGTGCATAGCGAACGCATGCAGGAGAGAATCGTACAGAGCGCTGTAGGTCATACATGGAAAAGTATTGTGTGATGTAATAAACGTGACGTGACGGAACTAACCGTGTTTTGGCGAGAGGAAAGCGAATTTTTGGCTCGTAAGAACCAGGAATTCTCTTACCTTCCATCAGAATGCGTTTAGCTATGTCACACGTTGCGTTAATTCAACCTTTTCCTATATACATATTTTTTCGATCTTTTCATCACGCTGTTGACCTACGCGACAACACATGCACATTTGTTATCATAGCGATTCACGCGTGCATTGAAGTAATTGAAATAACATGCGAGCATGACCATGTGACGGAATTCTGAGCGAAGTGCATCGCGGACGAGATTATCCTTTCGATATTTTGCCCTCGTACATACCCGAGCCGAAATTTTCCTATATTAAACCTTTAATTCCACAATCAGTAGAAACTAACAATAAGATAGCAAAACAGGCTCAATTTCAATGATTTATCGAACTATTTTTATTTCCCTGCCGTTTGGGACACAAACAGGAAAATTTTGCTTGCCGCGTGAAGAGTTAATAATATAACTTACTTTGACTTTGATGATGTCTGAAGTCTCCGTTTTCGATGTTTCAACGTCAAAATGGTTTGCTCAAAGTGGTATTAAAGTGAAGTTTGTAGAATTACAGGTTCAAGAGAGGAGTTAACGATCGTGTAATATCGTCCAAGTAGGCGCGAACTATCTTTAAGAGCGTCAAAATGGCATCGAAATTTCGACTTCGAGTGAGATGTTGCGAAATCATGCGAAACGAGCTGCTAACGTGCGAGCGAAGCGGCAGATTCTTCTACCTAGATTGTCCTCACGCTTACCTGCCCTTCTCGTACATCGGAATGCCGACGATTCTGATTATCCGCGCGTGAGTATTTCGCGCGTGACGAGCGCACTCGCTCGCGAGCTCGACCTGCGAAGAATTTCTCCCAGCTGACGTTCGGGCTTCGACTTCATTCGTCGCGACGTTTGTTTCGACGTGACAAATCGATGGGCACACATGCGCGCGCTTTAAATGATTAATGGCGTGATTTAATATGGAAAGGGCCCGCCACACGCGCCTTGCACGCTCTCTCGCAGAGAAGCGTGCCCGGAAAAGCGAGAAGGTCGTCATGACGACGTGAATAAATGATGCGACGTGCCCCGCGCGCGTGCAACGATAACGGTGTTCTCGCGCGGATTAGCCACGGAGCTCCGCGACAAATGCCCCGTCGCGTTTAAATGTCTCGTCCTTCCGAGTGTTTGTTTCTGCACCCGTAAACTTGGTTAATTATTAATAGAGTTTGTAACTACCGTCGTTGTGGGGAAAGAGGAGGGTGAACGGGTTCTATTATTATTTATCAACACGTGCCGTAAACCGGCTGAGGAAATCTGCGACGGACAGTGTCGCGTGTATAACAGGGGAGGTAGTGTGACCGTTGATTCGTCAACATTCGTGGATAATTAAGATTTCATTCAAGGGGGAAGGCAGGAAACAAGACAATTTGTACAAATCGATATTCGACGTATTTATCTCGGAGTAAGAAGAAAGATGCCGGGGGGAAAATTAGTTTTGGCAGTTAAATTAGCTGTAACATATGAAGGTTTAAAATTTTTGCAGCGTAAATAATTCTAATTGCTGCAGAAAAAGCTTGCCGCTGCAGCAATTAAAGTTGCTTACGCTGCTAAAGTTTTAGGTGTTCATATGTTACAACTAATTTAGCTATTGCAGCTAATCTTTTTTTCCCATGAAGAAACATTCGGATACGAAGAAATCGTTTGTTTGTATCTTTTTTCTTTCGTAATGTATTAGAATCTAGGAAGTTGTTTTTTTTAAATCATTTTATCAGGAAATAATTTTTCCTTGCGAATATCGGCTGCCTTTTGAAGTTCATTGAGTGTTTGTTTCTGTGGAGGTGTCGCGATATTTTTGTCACTAATTTTATAAAAAACTTGTTTTGACTTTTACGACTAAAATTCTGCGAGCGTTCGAGCAATGGTCAATGCTGCGCGTAATTACTTCACCGAAGTAAGTCGAGCTTTCGCACATCGACGCGTCTCACGTATATTTTTAACGTCAACTGAGATGCTCGCTAATTAAGTATCACTGCCCGATGAGATTAACCATCGATATATTATACCGAGCGATTTTCTCTCGCATCCTGTTTCCTGCGAGGACAACGGGTCGTCCTCCTCCGCAAGAGCGGATTTATAGCGTTTGAATCGCCGATCGTAATGCCTTTAATCGAGCCGTAAAAAGCGGCCGGGGGATACATCGCGTAATAAGTGTCGTAAAAATCGCCGTTTCCTATCTACCAGCACGCACTCGCTGCGTTCGTGAATATGTTCTACGACCCATATTTAATTTACATTCAATATCCTGCCTCTGCGACGAAAAGCACTCGACGATCGAGTGCTCAGTCGACAATGTGAAACAATAGTGTCAGCGAAAAACGACGATTGTCATGGCGCAAGTTCTATTCGTGCAACCGTCATTCTGCACGGACAAAAGTGATATTTACCTAACGAGAGATGAACAAATCGAACGTGTTTTGGTAGAAAGAAGCAGAATATTACTGCTTCTTACACAGGGAGAAAGGCTTTTTGGGTTTAGTGCACGTGTTTGTTTCACTTTGGTTTGTTTCATATAAACAACATAACTTAATATCAGTTTGTTTGGACGAAAATATTGTTTCACTAAGGTAAACCATGTTGTTTGATAGAACAATATTATTTAGAAGAAATAATATTCCGTTTTCAATAAAAAGAAAAATTTATTTCATTATATGTTACATGTTGTTCCATTGAAGCAAAGAAGTTTTTTAAATATTTTTTTAACACAGTGTTCTTTCCCAGTAATTTATTACTTGTGACAACTATCGTAATATTTGGATGAAAATACAAAAAGAAATATGTTATATTAACGATATTTATTGTTTAAGGGACCAAACATTTTGTTTGTTGAATCAAACATTCGTTTGTTTGCTCCATTCCAAAAGACAAATTTGTTTCAATCAAAGAAATTTTATTAAATTCAAAGAAACCTTTTTCTCCGTGTATGAACTCAAATTCGCCCCTTATAACTTAAAATCCCGAAAATCCGGCAAATTCAGCTCAACTTTTATTTTCCATTCGCCAAAACCTAAATTCCCAAAAATCCAGGTTCAAAACTAGAAAGCGGATTTCGCACTTCGCGCGCGTCATGTCGTTTCAGTCATGCTTTCATCCGCGACTCCCCCAACGCGTGTTCGCGCTGCACGAAAGAAATCCGCCCTTTTCCCGGAGAAAGAGAAAAATGAGATTGCAAAAGGATTGCACTAAAAATCAAACGCAACGAAGGCGAAAAGTTCCTCGTTTTCCGACCGGCTGGTTCTCCACGTTCGCGCGTCGGCGAATTTACTCGTCATTTCAGCTCGCTTGACGTTCGCGTTGGCGTCCACCTCATCTCGACGATCAAATTGCAATTTTTATTTCCCGACGCGATTTCAGTGCGTCGCAACTGTGTTTTGAGCAATTAATTAAAGTGCACAAAGTAAGTGGAGCGGAGTCGACCGGTCGTATCGGTGGAATCTTGACGAACTCCGGATGCAATTCCGACAGTCAACGGGTGGGCGACACGTAGAAATGATACATCAAAGGGCAAAGGATCACGGTTTACGTACGGTAGGTAGTAGCGCGGTAGTATCGATCATGCATCGTTTTTTTATCCTCTCCTGGGACGATACACAGTTCGCTATAATTAGATGATGCGTACGATACGCGTGCCGGTGTGCATTCGTTCGAGATAAAAGATAAACGGCGAAATTACTTAACGCGCGCGTCGGAGTCACGTCACTCTATTCGTCGTGCTTGCATCTGCGGGTGAAAAGCGGGAGAAAAAACGCAATGCGGCCGCAATAACATGTTTATTGTCCGCGGAGAATAGGGTGTTTGTTTGTTTGTTTGATTTTATTTTTTTAGGTTGATTCGTACTCTGATTGCGCGAGCGAGCATGTTTTGTTCGCGGACGCGTATCGCTCATGGGTTTGTGCGACTCATCGGATGCGTCGGCTAATTACTTCGTACTGCGTTTCAAACGCGAGAATATCCGCGCACACATCTCTGATCGGTATTATCTCTCGCTCAGCCGCGTCGTCACTGTTATTTATACGAACGAGATCCTTCGCAACGTTAATGGGAGAGCGATAAGCGGTAAAATATGTTCTCTTCAGTAACGAGAATTGTGTGCAACATGGGGAAGTGCAAGCGAGAATAGAAGAGAGTTTTTTTTCCCGCGATCTATGGCATTACTGAAAAATTCAAACACGGATAATATCACTGAATAAGTTATTTAGGTAAAACATGGAGCTATGATAAAACGGGTACCATGTTCATTTTGCTCGTTTGGAAAATCGCAACCTCGATTAGACATTAGAATACATTATTTCATACTTGCGGCGATCATTCCTCGTTAGTCAAGCTATATTGGTCGCGCTTTCTTAACCCTTATCGGACACTAGCTTTTTATGCGTGATTCTCACTAGGTTGTAGCTGATTTCGGTAAATATGCGAACTTGTCACCTCCTACGTGATGTACGACCGCAGCGACGAAGTATTGTTGTCACGTGAGATGTGACTTACGACCGATAAGGGTTAATAATAAGCATTAATTTTTTTTTATTCTTAATTTTATATTATGTTACTCTTTTTATCTTTTTATATTATACTACTCTTTCTACCAGTTTGTTCGGGACTAGTAAAATTATTATTATTATTATAAATAAATGAGTTACTTACTTCGCTCCTCCCAGTATCTCGCTAAAACATCCGCCAAGGCCGGCGAGCCGTATTCCTCCCGTTGCAGCGTGTTCGGCCCGGCCTACAACCGAAAAGTGGCGAAACTTGTAAAAACTGCATTCGGAAATACCACCCTAAGGGTAGAGCAGATTAGAGTAAAGTGAATGGTGAAGAAGGGTTTCACTCTAGGTGCGGACAGTTTCCGAACGCAAACACGTCAAATACTATCAAAAGTTTCTGGGGATCTATATTGGCTGGTTATTTTCGCCGATAAATATGCAAAGAAAAAGATTTCTCTGGATTTAATCGAATTTCTTTAATTGAAACCAATTTTTTTTTTTTTAGAATAGAATAAAGGGATGTTTGATTCAATAAATCAGATTGTTTGGATTCTCAAATAATAAATATCTTTAACGTCAAATAACATAATATTTTTGTGTTTTCATCCGAACATTACAATGATTGTTCCGAGCCACAAATTAAAAGTAAGTAGTGCAAAGAATAACGCTATGTTAGGAAAATATTAAAGAACTTCCTTGCTTTAGTGTGTAACAATGTTTATTATACAATAAAACAAATTTCATTTTATTTGAAACGAAACATTATTTTCTTTAAACGATATTATTTTTTCTATCAAACAATATGGTTTATTCTAGTGAAACAATAAGATTTCCATTCAAACAAGATGATATTTGATATTAAATTATGTTGTTTATACGAAATAAACTCAAATCAAACAAGCGTGTATACTAAATTCAAGAAAACTTTTTTTCTCTATGCACCTATGCCCGTTTTTACTATCGTAGTTTAAATCTAATCGACGATTAAATCAACGAAATTGATCAATCGCATTGGTCAACCAGCTGAATTGATCAATGCAATTAATTGAGTTAATCGTCGATTAGATTTAAATCATGGTAGTAGAAATAGATTTTAATATTAATATTCCGTGGTAAATGAATGGGAATATCGCGTGAGGTGGGGATTTAACAGGCGAAGTGCGAGTTCAATTTATACGCGGAAAATACAATGAGTTGGCACGTACATGAAATTGAAACACAATGTGCGCGATGATGGGATCGATAATAATATGTAATATCTAATATGGTGATAATAGCTATTACGTATCATGTACCAAATATGTTGTTATAATCATGTGCATAAAACATCGTAATCATAAGCACTTTTTGGAAAATTGCGCCTCGCGGGAATAATTCCGAGTCTCGGGGGAGCGCTTATCTACGTAATTAAAATTGCAAATTGCGTGGTATCCAGCGTGATGTGTCACTCGCGTATCGAGAGAAAGAGAGAGAGAGAGAGAGAGAAGGGGGCCGTGGCGGCTCCGTCGCGGACGCACTTCCCTTATTAACATCTAAATTCCGTGGCGGCGCGTTATTTACATGTTCGACGAAGGTTCAATTATTCAACTCCACGTCGAACGTTCGACGTGAGTGCGAGAACAGGAGTAGAGGAATATCGGAGGGATTGAAGGAGCACGGAAGGAAAGGAAGTCTGGCGATACGAGGTCCGCGCGGGTGAAAGAAAGAGGGAGGGGGGACGGAACGAACGATCGACTTGCGAGCATGCATAATTCAAGGCTTGCGGGTGATCACGTGTTAAGCACAGACACGCATATGAACCACGTGTTAAGCTCACTCTCGGCGTGACGGCACGGCACGTGCTCTCGTCGCCATAATCGCCGACAGCTATCGCTCTCGGCGCAACCAGGTTGCGGGTCACATTAATGCTAATTAGGACTTCGCGGCGACGTGAGGTTTGCTACTGGTGGAGCTTAACACCGTTAAACCAGATCGAACTTTTCCGTGTGACTCGCGCTTTCTCGTGGCGTGCGAAGCGCCGCATTGTGAATTCCCGGCGTGTCCGCCGGTCGTGTGTGTGCGCTCAACTCGCTGTCAAATTGAAAATATGTTATTATTATGACGTTACGTTACTCGCGCATTCCCGAGAATGCCAACACACTCTCGCGACTCCCGTGTCGTTTCGCCCAACGTTTTACGACCAGCGATAGTTCTGCGATAAGGCCGCTCTATAAAACGCTCTGTGTACTTCCCGCTCCCTCGAGAATTTGTTACACGTAAATTGCATAGACACGCCAGCTCGATCTGTAAAAAGTGTCGCGTATTTCTCATGAAACTTAGTGCTAAAGTCCCTCAATCTGCTCTTCATAACTGAACTGACTGCACTAATTCAAGTAATTCACCTCGAAGCGTATAAGGCGTACGTAAAAATCCTCACTCTTCAGGGTAAATTTCTTAAACGTAAAAAAATGTGCCACTGAAATTTATGTGTTGCACTTTAACAAGATGAATATGTTAATTTAATTAATTTAACATATATTCGTGTACTTTTTAATATATTTATGTATTTAATATATTTTTAATATATTTATGTGAAAGCAACGCAAGAAATTCAGCGAACCGTTATTTACACAAAATTGTTTATTGTGTCCAGACTCTTATTATAGGGACAACGTTATGCAACGCTACCTCTTCGGCGGAGCAACAACCTCCTAAAACGGCCTATCAGAGTTGACCCTGAATGCATCCTCGCGCGGTCGCGAGGACCCTGAATGCATCCTGCAGGTCGATGGTAGATCGATACCGTGGCTATTTTGTCATCACGACTGTGGCTTGCATGACCAATTACGGGGGTTAAGGCCGGCGTCGTATCGCCGATCTCGTCGCTCTCTTTTCCTCCCTATTTTTATTTTCTTGTTCCGGAAAGAGGAAAAGCGCGTTCTCCCGTTCCCCCTCACGTACCTCCCTTTGCGGAACTCATTGATCGTTTCGCGAGAGACGATCGGCGGTCGTGATGCGTGTTCGAGATCGAAAACCGCGTGTTACGAGAACGATCAACATACACTTATTTCCCTCTCCTTTTCTCTTTTCTCTCGCAGCGAAGTGACGCGTTTCAGCGATCCAATCGAGTTTTATGAATAGAGCTTTTCGTCCCAGAAGTCTTCTGGAATAGCTGCGCTCCCGGCATGGCGGAAGATACCAACGCTTAGCGAGCGAAAAAGTGAGGGGGGAGAGGGCAGAATGAGGTTTCGCGTGCGCGTCGTAAAGCGACGGGAAAATCTCGCGGATTTAATTTCGCTTTAAAATCGAACGAGGCGACGCACTCCGGCGATCTTGCGTCGCGCTGGCTTCGATCGTGCCGGCGGAATCGCGTTTCTCGACGCGCTCACTCGACCACCGGCGCGAGCCTCGCGGTGAATTGTGCAGTTGATAAAGTTAATGAAGTTGCCGACCCCATTTTGTATAAGCTGCTCGGGCGTAATTGTCGAAGAATTAAATGCTTCCTGAGAACACGCGGTAGCGGTCTTACCTCCTTGAGCGATGCAAAAACAACGCTTATAAAACCGTTAAATGTAGAGTCGAGTGAAAACGGGGATGAGATTTTATCGCGGGGAATTCTGTTGAGAAATCTGCCCTCCGCTCAACCGTCGTATCGGAGACGCAGTTATCGCGCGTTTTGCGGGGAAAACTTCGAATCTCGAAATTTTAATGCTGCTTTGACAGTCTTAAGGTAGTTGTATCGCAGAGTGTCGTATCTTCAGTGGTGCATCAAAGGGGCCACTCATTGATTCAGTATTTATCAAGCAAAATTACGTTCCTACATTTTTCTCACTATCTAAATAATAAATGTTAATTTGAAACGAAATTGAGGTAAACATATATACGCAGTATTACAAATATGAAAATATTATCATTCTTTCATTTTTCTCATCAACACTATTTTGCTTTAGTTGATCTAATAGAGATGCACAGATAATAGAAAGAGGAATATAAGTGTTTAAATGTATGCACATATGTATATGTATTTCAAATATTATTATAAGTTGTGAATTTTATACTGCTATATTTTCAAAACAAAATAGTCAACTTCATATCGCAGCATCCAATCATGCTGTAAACGTTCTATGTAAACGTAATTGTATGTTTTTTCCACATTCGATGTACGTCGGGGTTAAAAATTCAATATGGAGTGGAGCGGGCGATATGTCGCTGATTTAGGGACTTACGAAGACGCGAAATATCCGGGATCAGGCGAAGACACGCCGGCGATCCCACACCCCGTCGCGCACGTTGCAGCGTTGTTTACAACGCGAGGTGGAGTATCATCACCTCCGTCGGTGGATATTGTGCGAAGACTGCCTCCTGGGTGTTATTAGTATGCATGGGAAAACTTTCCCCGTACGCACACACACACACACACACACGCACACACATGAGACACAGCGCGTCGCGTCCCGGATACACCGTGTCCGAGCCCAACCCGTTCGGGGTTGGGCTTCGTTACCAAGTTCCGCATCTCGCGAACGTCTCCTTCAATCGTCTGGAAGTAGTGGTAGAGCGGCGACTAACGCGAAGGTTCTTGCAAATTACCACCTCGTCAGATTCCTTGCATTGGAGACAGCCGATCATCGTGTGAAATATGCAGGAGGGCGCACGACGAGAGGCACGTTATTCCGCCGACGACGTCCCGAGAGCGGATCTGATTTCACCCTGCCTCCTTCCCTCCACCCCCCTTGTTTAAAAGACTGTCGCAGGGGAACGAAAGGGGGGGAGGGGAGAATCGTTTCGAATAAAACAATTTCTCGTGTGTGTGTGTGTGTGTGTCTCTGCCTGACTTTCGTCGGTCCATTTGTCGAAGTGGATTTTAATGAAAGTAAGGGCAAGTGAGTAGAAATAACGCCATGTAAATCGTTAGTAATGCGTTTTCAATCACTCTCTATCCCCCCTCCCCCCCTCGGCTCTTCTTTTTCCACTCTATTACGTAATTTTCCCTCGTGAGGTTATAGAAGAGCAGCACGGCATATGTGACACATCGAAGTAATTAGATTTTACGTACGCTTACGTACGCTCGTGCGTCCTTTCCTCGCGCCGTTTACTCTCGTTCGCCGATCTCTCAGCGCCTCGGCATGTCGCGGGCGCGAAGAGTCCGGTTTTATGTCCGTCGTGGCGGCTGCAATTTGCGGAAGTGCATGACGAAGGCCGTATTGCACTGCACTTTTTCCCGATAATGCGACTTCACGGCTCATCCCCAGCCGAAGGTCGCGAGATGACGACGACAACGGCAGACGAACGTGGAGAATTATCGAACAGCCTGGGCTGGTAACGTCCCTCACGGAGGGAAAGGTCGGGGCGCCCGATAATAGCGAAAGGACTATTTCGCGCTTCGGCCGCCGCTGATGCAACAAGTTGCGAATGCAAGTGAGAGCGCGGATTGATGCGGGCTTCACTTTCCGGAATCGGATCGCATTATCGGTGGGGGAGCAAAACGCCCGGCGAACATTCGACATTTTGCATATTTCGTCGTGAAACCGTCCAGACTCGGTGAAATTGGGAGCGCTGTAAACTGTCACGATTGAAACTCATTCCTGATCGAAGGAGCCATGGAATGACAGTACGGAATGACAGTACGGAAAGTTCCGGGACTTTCCGCTTTACACGTAACGCATAAGGCTGAAAATCGCAAAAGTAACTCTAATTATAATGGTAGGGTTGTAAAGTCTCTATTTATAATAGCTTCAACCTCGCGTGTTCATGTGAAAAATTAAACACTGTGTAATATATGTGTTCTTTGATTTATTTTTTATACACAACCTTTTCAATCATAATATTGTATGTCTTCCAATTCTTTCCAAGTTCTTTTAGTTTACATGTACCGTCTAGAGTTATCCGTTCTTTTGATATTTTAACGTATTAGTGTATTTTTGAACATATTCCCCGTGTTAAAGCAACAAAGAAATTTCGATGGGCCGTTTGTAACACAAGAAAATGTTTACCGTGCGCAGGAAGTTTAAGAAAAAAAAATAGCTGTAATACAATGCATTTAGAAATAACCCGGATTTAACTGTTGCTAGTCCATCGGGGGTTCGCAAAATTGGAAAATCTCGTGCCTCGAGTATACTTCGGCTTTTGCCATAATCGATTGCTACGCAAGAGCCCGTTGGTAGGGGCTCTCAGTCGTGACAGTTTGCTGCGCTCCCAACTTCATTGCGTCTAAACCGTTTTGCAAGCAAGAGTACACAACAGAGAGGGGTACCTCTCTCGAGGGCTTAACGGACGGGATTAATGTCGACGGGACGCTCGAGTTGCCGCGCTACTCCCTGAAGCGGGCGAGCCACAATTACATGACGGACGACGCCGTAAACAGTCCCTCCTGCTCTTTGTTGCGCTTCGTGTTCTTTGTAAAAAAGTTTTCTCGTTGGAAAGTTTTGACTTTCCCTCTCCCCCCCCCCTC